TAGGACAATAAAATCGGTACCCTTTGGACTTTAGTGGATAACCAATAAAATATCCAGAAATTGTTCTAGGATCCAATTTCTTTTCATTTGGATTGTATATTCTAGCCTCTGCAGGACAACCCCAAACATGTAAATGTCTTAAACTAGGTTTCCTACCAGTCCACAACTCGTATGGAGTTGTTGGGACTGCCTTACTGGGAACCCGATTTAAGATATACATAGCGGTTTTCAAGGCTTCATTCCAAAGTGAAATGGGTACAGTTGAATTACTTAACATACTCCTAACGATATCCATAAGAGTACGATTACGACGTTCAGCAACTCCATTCTGCTGTGGTGTTCCAGGCATTGTGTATTGAGCACAAATACCACGCTTTTCTAAGAATTTAGCAAATGGGCCAGGATTTTGTCCCGATTCATCATATCTACCATAGTATTCCCCACCCCGATCTGATCGTATAACTTTAATTTTTCTATCTAATTGTCTTTCGACTTCCGTAACAAACACCTCAAGCATGTCAACGGCTTGAGATTTTTCATGAATTAGATAGAGATAACCATAACGAGATAGATCATCAATGAAGGTGATAAAATACTTTTCTCCACTAAAACATGGAATAAGTAGTGAGCAGATATCTGTATGGATTAACTCAAGAAGCTCTTTACTTCTTGTGGCACCTCTTTTATTGTGTTTAGTTTGCTTGCCCTTAATGCAATCCACACACATTTGAAAATCAGTAAAATCTAGATTTTCCAAAATTCCAGTTTTTACCAATCTTTCGATTCTTTTCTTGGAGATATGCCCCAATCGTTTATGCCACAAGATAGAAGAATTTTCGTTATTTAGGCTTCGTTTTACGCCAACTTCCGAATGAGTGGTTAATAATGATTGTTCAAACTCATGATTCAAAGATATTTTATATAAACTATCACATAAAATACCGGAACCAATTATTATTGAATTAAACATAAAACTGAGTTTTCCACAACCAATTAAAGCTGAATAACCACAAACATCCAGTTTTGACAAAGAAACCAAATTCCTAGAAAACGAAGGTACATAAAAAGTGTTTTCAAGATCCATCTTGTGACCCGTCTCTAATATGAGGCGATAAGTGCCAACAAACGCCACTTTAGATTTGAGACGGTTCCCCATATAGATGTACTTTTCACTTTCCTCCGGTTTCCGAGTTGTAAGGAATCCCTGTAATGAATTTGTGATATGAGTTGTAGCACCAGAATCAAGCCACCAAGTGTAAGAAGGAACTTCAATAAGATTTGATTCATAACATACAAAAGAAAGATGAATACCTTTCTTTTCGAACCAAGCCTTTCGTTTCTCACAATCCTTCTTTACATGTCCCTTCTTGTTACAAAAGTAACAGGTGACAACAAAAGCCTTTCCATGACCCTGACTACTTTCACCAGGTTCATATCTTTTGTTTGGTGTGAATTTCTTTCCACTCTTCACAAATTTCCCTTTCTTCTTCATACTTCCATGAGTTACAGCCAATGCAAAGTGATTTCCTTCTTGCTTTAATCTCACTTCCTCTTGAATACACATACTAGTCAGCTCATTCAAATTCCACTTATCTTTTTGAGTATTATAGTGGATTTTGAATGGGCCGAACTTTGATGGAAGTGAGTTAAGGATAAATTGCACAAGGAAGGACTCTTCCACTTTCATGCCAAGAGCTCCAAGTTTGGCAGCCTTATCAGTCATATTCAGGATGTGTTCCTGAATTCCCTTA